GTTTTGTCTTTTGAGATTTCTTCTACAGTGATCTTTTCAGCCACTGTAAGTGGTTCCGGTTTTTCGGCCTTAACCTCTTTGTTCATCGGACTTGGTGTTTTCTCTTTGACAAATTCATCAACAGTGGTCTTTTCAGACACAGTAAGTGGTTCTGGTTTTTCGGCCTTATCGACAGGGCTTGGTGTTTTGTCTTTCGTGATTTCTTCTACAGTGGGCTTTTCAGACAAAGTTAGCTTTTCCGGTTTTTCGGCCTTAACTTCCTTGTCCGTCGGACTTGGTGTTTTCTCTTTGACAAGTTCATCAACAGAGGGCTTTTCAGACACAGTAAGTGGTTCTGGTTTTTCGGCCTTATCCTCAGGGCTTGGAGTTTTGTCTTTTGAGATTTCTTCTACAGTGGTCTTTTCAGCCACTGTAAGTGGTTCCAGTTTTTCGGCCTTAACTTCCTTGTCCGTCGGACTTGGTGTTTTCTCCTTGACAAGTTCATCAACAGTGGGCTTTTCAGACACCGTAAGTGGTTCTGGTTTTTCGGTCTGATCGACAGGGCTTGGGGTTTTATCTTTTGTGATTTCTTCTACAATGGGCTTTTCAGACACAGTTAGTGGTTCTGGTTTTTCGGCCTTATCCACAGGGCTTGGAGTTTTGTTATTTGAAATTTCTTCTGCAGTGGTCTTTTCAGCCACTGTAAGTGGTTCCGGTTTTTCGACCTTAACCTCCTTGTCCGTCGGACTTGGTGTTTTCTCTTTGACAAGTTCATCAACAGTGGGCTTTTCAGATACAGTAAGTGGTTCTGGTTTTTCGGCCTTATCGACAGGACTTGGGGTTTTGTCTTTCGAGATTTCTTCTTCTGTGGGCTTTTCAGACACAGTTAGTGGTTCAGGTTTATCGGCCTTAACCTCCTTGTCCGTGGAGCTTGGTGTTTTCTCAATGACAAGTTCATCAACAGTGGTCTTTTCAGACACCGCAGGTGGTTCTGGTTTTTCGGCCTTATCGACAGGGCTTGAAGTTTTGTCTTTTGAAATTTCGTCAACAATGGGCTTTTCTGACGCAGGAAGTGATTCTGGTTTTACGGCTTTATCCGCCGTTTCTGTAGGACTAGATGATTTCTTCTTGACGAGTTCATCAACAGTAGTCTTTTCAGACACCATAAGTGGTTCTCTTTTTTCGGCCTTAACGACAGGACTTGGGATTTTGTCTTTCGTGATTTCTTCTACTTTAATCTTTCTAGACATCGCGGTTTGTTCCGGTTTTTCGGCCTTATCCACAGGACTGGGGGTTTTGTCTTTTGTGATTTCTTCTTTAATAACCTTTTCAGACGCAGCAATTGTGTCCAATTTTTCATCCTTAATCTCCTTGTCGGTAGTACTAGGTGTTTTATCCTCGACAAATTTGCCTAAAGTGGTCTTTTCAGACACAGCAAGTGGTTCTGGTTTTTCATCCTTTATCTTCTTGTCTGTCGAGCTTGGTGTTTTCTCCTTAACGAGTTCATCAACAGTGGTCTTTTCTGACACCGCGAGTGGTTCTGGTTTTTCGAGTTTATCGACAGGAATTGTGGTTTTGTCTTTTGAGATTTCTTCTACAGTGGGCTTTTCAGACACCGCAATTGGTTCTGGTTTTTCGGTCTTATCGACAAAGCTTGGGGTTTTGTCTTTCGAGATTTCGTCAACAGTGGGCTTTTCAGATACAGTAATTTGTTCTGATTTTTTGATCTTAATCTCCTTGTCGGTAGGGCTCGGTGTTTTCTCCTTGACAAGTTCGTCAACAGTGGCCTTTTTAGACACCTCGGTTGTTTTTAGTATTTCGGCCTCATCAATCTTGTCTATTGGGCTTGGTGATTTGGTTTGTACAAGTTCGTCAACAATGAGTTTTTCAGACTCATCAATCAGTTTGGGTTTTTTGGCCTTGTCGACAGGGCTTGGTGTCTTTTCTTTGAGTTCCTTAATGCTTTGTTTTTCAGACATTGTAGTTGGTTCTGGTTTTTCGGCTATGTCCTCCTTGTCAACTAGGATGGGTGTTTTCTTCTTAACGAGTTCATCAATAGTCAGTTTTTCAGCCACTGTTGTTGTATGTAGTTTTTCGGCTCTATCGACTTGGCTCAGTGTTTTCTCTTTTACAATCTCGTCAATAGTATGTTTCTCGAGAAGAGAAGTGTGTTCTGATTTTTTGGCATTTTCCCCTTTTTCACCAGAGCTTGGTATTTTTTCATCAATAGCAGCAGGAATTTGTTTTTCGGTCTTTTCGCCAGTGTCCACATCACTTGGTGTTTTCTCTTTATCAAGTTTATCAATGGCCATCTTTTGATCCAGAACTATTGAGGTTGATTTCTCTACTTCTTCCTGTGTTTCGATGGGGCTTAGGTATTTATCTTTTGCCATGTCTAGTATTTCTTTTTCCTTTAATGGACTACGAACTGTTGTCAGTGTTTCAATAGTTTTCTCTTCAATGGGTGACTCTGTGATCCTTTCTTCTTTTGTAGTGATAATTTTTTCCGTAGTTTTTATAAGACTTTTTCCATAGTCATAATGGTCAATCTTTGATATTGATTCTTTAACTTGTTGTGTTTGTGAACTTATTGGTTTTTGTTCTATTTCTTCGCCTGACACTTGGTGGTAAGATATGTGCTTACTGTGTTTTGTTACTGCCGAGCCATTAGGATATTCATCCGTTTTTACTTCTGTTATCGTCCATTTGAACACTTTCTGACTCATGTGTATAAATGCTTGTTTTATTGTAGTTGTAATTACATTTTGTCTTATTGTTACCGTATTTTTTGTTACAAATGTCATTTCTTTTGTTTCTGATATAATTGGTTCACCTATTGGTAGCAATCCTTCGTATTTTCTGTTTTCGCTTTTCTGTGTAAGAAAACCTTTTAGTTCTTCTAATTTCTTATTCATATCTGCTATTGCTATACTTTTCTCGTGTTTTGAACTTGTGGATCCCTCAGGAGATTTATCGATTTCTGTAGTAGAAGTTACTATTATAACTTTAAAAGTAGAAGCTTTTTCATGATAATACAAAGTCTTTGTTATTTTAGTCATAATTGTGCGATAAACCGTAATGTTGTTTGTGTTTATAGTTTTTATACCACTTATTTCATATTCTTCAGGTTCACTAATCTGAACAAGTTCTTTCAATAAATTATCCGCCTCTCTTTCGCTTATTATTCTACTAACACCGTCTGTATGAATAATTGATGATTTGACGTCGTCTATAATGTTTTCGCATAATTCATGTAAATCGTTCTTTAGATCTTTCTCGGCTTGCTCTGACACAGCAATTATATCGGAGATATAAATATTTGTTTCAACGTTACTTACAAAAGAGCCATCTGGATTTTTATCTTTTGTAACTATAGTTTTTGAGGTCTTTAATTTTACGAGCAACCCATTTTTAGTGCTGTACTTTGTTTTAATTATCTTAGTTACTATATTTCGTTGCACTGTATGTGTTTTTGTCGTTATTACGCAATCTTTAACTGTTTCAATATATTCAGGTTCTCCATATGTAATAAGATCTTTGAGAACTATTTTTAACGATTCATTGTCTGTTTTAATTGGCTGAGATATTTCTTTGTAGCTCCGAATATATTGATCTTGTTCCATATCTTCAACAAGCCCAAGCATTATCATTTCTGTCCTATGAGATTTTTGTGTAAGCATTTGTAGCTTTTCAGTATAATTTTGAATGTCATCCAAATCATCAAAAGTAGTACCTCCATCAAAAGGTAACACTTTATCATTATATTCTTTTACAATACTATCTTTTTCTAAACCTACTTGCTTTTCGTCAAGTTTGTCAGAAACGATATTACTTTGTAATAAAATTTCTGCGCCGACATCCATTTTTAGATCGTCGCGTGAATCAGTTCCTATTAGTTTTTCTTCATATATACTTGTTTCCGAGCTATCCCTCTCTTTTTCAGTATCCGGTGGAATGTCAATCGATGTCGGTGTTAACAGAACTTTCTTGTCTTGTTCGATTATGTCTTTATCGAATTTTTCATCAAAGTCGGTCACCTTCTCAGAAGAAAGTTGTTCTTCAAAAACTTTTTTGAGAAGTAACTCTGATTCTTTTTCTTGACTTGTTAGTTGTGAATCGATGGTGGTTACTACTTGTGATACTTTCTTCTCTAAACTAGTTTCTTTTGGTTTAACCTCTTTTTGGGTGCTTTCTTCTTTCTTTTTTAAATCCGCTATTTTTTCCTCTAATTTCTCTAAAGTTTTCGCGGAATCTAATGTAATACTTAAACGTTTTTCTTGCTTTTCATCAGTGATTTCACTTAAATGTTTCGCAACTTCGCCATTATCTAATTTTGGCTGTGGTTTTTTCACTTCACTTTCTGTTAAAGTACTTATCAATTCTGTGTCAAGTTTTGTTTCACGTTTTACTTTTTTTTCATCGCTCAACACCGTTTTGTCTGATACATCACTAACGTCTTCAGATGTAAGTGATCTCATTGGTGATATTTCCTTATAATGTGTATCATCAATTTTCTTAAAACCTTCTGGAGATTTACGAAATATAGGTGATTTTTCTGCTATTAATTCATCTAGACTTTTATCTGATTTAAGAACTTGTGCTACGTCAGCTACTATCCGCTCCACATCCTTAGGACTAAGGGATGATTTTTCTAATGTTTCCAACTTATCTTCTTCCTCAATTTCTTTTTCTACATCTTCAGGTATTGAAGGTATCTTTTCAAGTCCCGTTTGAGTATCATCTACAGTTTTTACTTCGTCCTTTATTGGCGAATCCAAAGTTGTAATATGAGTTTCTCGTAATTTTTCCGTGAACTGTCCATAAATATACTCATTATCATCATATTCCTTTACTGGTTCTAAATCTTTGCCTTGAGTTATTATAACTTTTGTTTGATCATGATACATCGGGGATTCTGGCGCTGAACCCGGTGTCACAGTAACTATTTCAGGATGAGATGCACGTTCGACTGTTTTAATTATAACATCATCTTGTATAGTCCTAGAAATTGCGTCTTTTATTGGGAGGTCTTTAGGAATTTTCAAATCTTTCTGTAAATCAACCTCTAACTTTTGTTTATATACGGTTTCTTCGATCGGTGTTTTCTTTTCTTCAAATGTTCTGTAATCTACCTCTTCGTGTAAAGGAAGGTCAGCAACTTCATCAGGCGTCTTTACAACGTCTCTGAGAGGACCTGGTTGCGGTTCTTTTATGGGTATTCTTTCAGATACTAGTGGTTTCCTATCGATAAATGGTTGCGGCATATGGGTTTCCTTCGTTTCTTCTCTAGTATACTTTTCTTCAACATGCTGATCTTCTTTTATTTCATCTAATGTTATACGTTCATCTTCAGGTAGAGTAGGCGCCGTGGTAGCCCCAGATTCCACGGTAGTTGAAATTTTTTCATCTGGTTGTGACTCTTGTACAATATTAAGATCAAGTGAGTCCTTTGCTTTCAAAAGCAGACTTTTACTATCTGTTGTCTTCTTTTCACTGCTAATGTCCTGTTTTTCTTCTAAGCTTTCAGAGTGTTCTTTTGAATCATGTTTGATTTCCTCTTTAGTTATTTTCTCTGTATCTGTTTTTGATGTTATTTTAACTTGGCTAGTTAAATCCTCTTTTTTCTTTTCACATTCATCTTTATCTTTTAAATGCTTTAATATGTCTGCTTCTTTTTCTGGACTTATTTCCTGTTCTACTATAGAATCTTCAGTAAATTGATCAACTTCTTCCTTTTCTATTATTAAATATTCCTCTTCAAACTCAGTGTCAGCAGGAATGTCTGTTTTTGTGTCATCTATGAGACACGTAATCTTTTCTATATCTGAACGCCCGACGTATTCCATTTTTTCTTCAGCTTCGCTATCTCTATTAAATACAGCTTCTATTTCTCTCACAATTTCTTGCTCTTCTCTTTCGTCCAGTTCTTGTTGTTTAATATCGTCAAGTGACTTTGATGTATCTTCGTCAGATTTTTTAGCGTCTTTTAAAATATCTTCATAATTCACTCTCTGTAAACCTTTCAATTTTGCAGTGTCGCCCTTAGTTGCCTTAACAGATTTTAAGGGGCTCTTCATAGATTTTAAACCTTTTATCGGTGAACCTATAGGCCTTGGTCGTCTAGAAATGGGTTCTCGCTTAGGTTTCGTTTCTTTTTTATCTGAAGCTTTTTGAGGAATATCTCTCTTAGGAGATGCTTGTTTTAACTTAGATTCAACAACTCTACGGTTGCTGGCTTCTTTTACACTTTTAGCAGGTGTAGTAATTGGGCTTTGTCGTCTAGTCTTACCTTTCACTTTTTCTTTGCTTATAATATTCGTAATCGATTTAGGTTCAACCGATTTCTTCGGTGTCGTGGGAGGAGATTTTTTATCGTCTAAAATAGTACGTTTATCAGTTACAGTAGAGGTTACCTTCTTTTGAGTTGTTCGGTGACTAATTTTACTTTTGCCGACAGTACTTGGAGTTTCGGGCTTTGCTTTTAAGTCAGATTTTTTCTTAATATCGGGTTTTATTTTCGCTTCGGTTTCCGCTTTCTTGAGGTCAGCAGCTTTCGTTATTGGCTCCTTAGTATCATCAGTTCGTTTAGCCTTTTTATCGATGGGCTTATCTTTCTTTTTAGCTTCCTTTTTTTTCGGTAAGCCATCAACAACGGTGCTCTCGTATTGAGCGAATTTGTCGTCCAATTTGGAATCCATTCTTGCAGCGATAGCTTCTTGCAAAACTGATTCAATTTTTTTGTCTTCTCCATCGACCAATTCATTTAACAACTTATTATCGATTAAGTTTTTAGAATCAATCTCATCTTTGACTGCCTTAATTCTTGTGTGTTCTGTTTCGTGTATTTTTTCATCTTTTGTCTTTGTTTCTGTAATAATACTTCTTTCTTTACTTTTTGCTTTAGTTTTGATAACGGAGATTGCGGCGGGCGCGGCGGGCGTGGGCGCGGGCGCGGCGGCAGTCGCCAGCTGGCGGCCGGTGCAGGTGGGATGTTGAAGAATCTCCAAGTTTTTTAATTTCTCGAGGCCTTCGAAGATTTTATGTTGCGGCGTAGAACCGGGGAACATTATTCTAGTTATCGTATCATCAGGATTGGCAGGACGCCACACGAGTAACGCACATATCGATACTAAATTAGGAATCGGAAAGTTAAATTGTCCTGACACACTCGCTCCTTCAAATAACTTTTGTTCACTACTGTGCCATCGTTTTAGGAATTCACGAACGTGTTTCGAGTCCTTGGACGGATTCAGTACGTACATGTCGAGAGTACCTGAAAACAAGATACATATTTGTTTAATATGACATGTAATTATTTTATAGGAACACAAGGCGAGCGCTCTGCGAGTAGCCCTTGGCGAGATTTCAATGACGCTCTAGGTGGAGATGTTAAGAGTATTATGTGAGACTAACTCGTAGACCTGAGGCGTTACTTTCTGTTAGGCGCCCTGGGCGATTGTTCAACCTCGCCTTACGCTAACGATGGTACTGTATGTTAATAGTAGGACTTACCATGACCAACTTTATGGTACAAGTTTATGGGTTCAGGGCTCCGGTAGCAGTGTTGTGGTTTCAGATTAATATGTCGTAGGTCTGCCATCATGTCAGAACCCTCTTGCAAGAGGGAGACAAGCAGAGGATCGGTATCCTTGTCACCATCGGGACTTGTCACAGCTCGTCTCTCCTGGAATTAGTATGAAGTACATTCGAAAAGTATTCTATCAGACATTTAAAATATATATAGACTAGATATAGGGAACAAAATTATTTCGCCGGTAACTTCTTTGAAAGGTACTATGCTAGTTGTCAAGTATAGTACGAAACCTTATGCCTAACCTTAGTGATATGGTATAAAACATTTTACAAGTATGATAATATGCTCCATCTTTTATTAAATGTGTCATAAAATAAAATATATTATTTATTTATTTAATGACACTTAATGGCAATTAATTTCAATACAATTAATTATGTTGGCATGTAGTTTTGAGGACCTATCGATAGATAGCATTAGTGGATCATGTGAAAAATGACTCAATTCAAGTTTCAACTATGGTTCCTCTATACATTTTTTTAAATGTCTTCAATATCTATAGGGTAACTTTGCATATGGTTTGTGTTAGAGTACACTTACTTCTAGGTTACAGAAGAAGTGTCCGATCTGTGGGTACACGTTGGCGGTGGCCTTGCGGCGCAGCACGGCGGCCATGCCCGCAGCCGAGCAATTGTTGAGGCGCGTCAGGAGTACCGCGTCCAGCCGGTCCAGATGCCGGGCGAAGTCCCACCAGCACGCCTTGCGTGAGAACCCGCCGTCCACTGGAATGTTCAGCACAACATATTGTTATAAAACTGTTAGACCATACTAGTCTAATCCAAGACAGGGGTGTGCCATATCGGCCCTCAGTTAACACTTAATTAGGAAGGAGATAGCTAATGGTTCTTGTCAACTTCACTTTCTTTTAACGACTTTTTTTAACAAGTTGCAAATATTTCTAACTAAGCAAGGTAAGCTTTTTAGTAAGTTGCACAACTTTGATGGCTCAATTCGATAACATAGTGAATTTAATGCATATAACTTGGACATTGGAATTCGAAATGACGTCACAGTGATACAACTCTGACGTTTGATTGAACAATTAATTGAACCAAATAAGAAGCGCTTTTCGTATTTACAAATATCCATTTCAACATTACTGATTTAATTTACTTCTATATAAAATTCAGAACCTATTTGTTGTGTAAACTATAATTTAAAAATTAATTGTAATCACTTAAGTCCGAACTCTGGTACATTAAATATAACAGCATCTTAAATGGCCATGTATAAACTCTAAAATCATTTACAACATCTGTTATATAGTAAGCGACGCTTATGAAGCAGAGTTTATGATCCACCAGCTTTCGCCCGCGACTCCGTCCGCGGGGAATTAAAAAAGACAAATGCAGGTAACCTATGTGTTCTTCCAGAATATCCTCTACATCTATACCGAATTTCATAGAAATCCGTTCAGACGTTTAGGCTATAAACTCTAACAAACAAAAACTGTCTTATTTATAATATTAGTATGATTTAAATTTTCTGTACTTTATCCATCTTCAATTTTAACAAGTGGACTTCTCAATTAGTTAACTATTATTATAAATTAACAACTGGTTTGTTAGTTATTTTATAATTTAACGATTCAATATTTTGATTATCCGTAATATCTCCGTTAATTTAATAAGAATTTTCTAAGCGTACAAATTAGACCTCAGAGAAATTGTAATTACAACGCGCTTTTAACGTAACGAGTAAATTGTGAGGCAACTTTTATAGTTTCTATTAATTAAAACATAACCCCGAGGGAGTTTCGTTCACAGAGAGGTATTTAATATGAAAAAGTTTAAAATGTTCCCTCCAGAATATTCTACAAAATGTTCGTGTAATTACATTCTGCAGGCAAAGGGTTGATTTTTTTATGTAACATCTTGGCTTTTTGCCAGCCAGTGTCCGCAGCAAAGATTTTTTTTATTCCATCTTGAGCTAATAGCTTTTTTTTTCGGCATGTCATCAATTTTGTAAACATCATAGATTATATAGCTCAGATATCGACGTGATAAGGTTTGTAAATCGATGTACGCTGGCTGCAGTATAAGTATGAATTATGTTCCGCTTGTGAAATGAGAGTGCGGAACAGACAATAATATTACTATAAAACCAATATTATTACAAAGGTAATAATCTCTAGCAAATTTTTCTAACATGAAATATTTTTAACTAGCAGTTGCTCGCGGTCTCCGTGATTAAAAAAATAATGAAAAACGTATCCAATGTTATTTACTGATAAGGTAGCTTTTGAATGGTGAAGGAATTTAAAAAATCGGTGCAGTAGTTTTTGAGTTACAATACTTACAACAAAGTACAAATCTTTCCTCTTTATAATGTTAGAATACTCGTAGATTCCTAAATTTAATAATGTCTGTGCTCTTGATACAAACATCTACAACAAATTCAGTAAGAGGTGTAGCTATTAACTTGATAAATGTCCATCGCTCGTCGGCTAAGGGTCTGAGTGAGAGATCTTTTTGTCAACGCAGTATTGGAATTGGCTTCAAGCCAAGTATCGAGAGCCGGCCGAGGTCGGAGAAGACGGGTCGCTAAGTGACGTGCGATATTTTTCTATTTGTGTTACTGAAGTCGTTATATTGAAGACGAGCTGTCGCCTGCAAATATCGTTAGCGAAGATTTGGACCACTCGTTACGCCATTTTGACGGCGCAGAATTTAAAGCCTTAATATGCCTATCCATGTCAGCTACCCTCCAATGAAAGTCCCGTCGTAATCGGCAAAGCCATTTCGGAGATTACTCGGAGCAAACGCGGCTTGCGCACAGACAGAAGGACTGACAGACAAAAAATTGTTAAATGCGATGTATGTTTCCTTTCATTACTGTTTCCCTTGGAAATTACATTCAAGGAATAGGATAAGTGGCTTAAAAGCCCTCGAGTTTGTTTCTTACCATCAGAATCCCCTCCCAGAAATCATCAGAAGTACTTTTCTGGTTCTAGCTACTTACTATCCTTCTTTTTAAAAGGGCACAGACAGTCTCATAGTGTTAAGAAGGCTATAGAGGGTGTTACAAATTGTACTGGGAGTGTACCGAGCATGTTGAATCCGTTAATCCCGAAGAGGGCAGCGTCGCCTTGTCCGCCGGGGAAGACGTACAGCGTGGGGTGGCTGAAGCGGATGTTGCCGACCACGTCGCTTGACACCAGCAGCTGCTCCAAGCTTGCTGGCACGATGTAGGGTTCCAGGTAAGCTGTAATTTATGACAGAACTGTTAAAATATGCTAAAGAAGTATGGATGTTATTTTGCAATACGATATACGATTAAAAAGTCTCGAATAACGAGAAGTAAGGGTTTTTTTATCTAAATAAATATTTGTATTATTAACGGCGGAACATTGAAACGAATCTCGCTTTTGATGGACGTCAAAATTTGAATTCAATTTGAAGTGTGGCTGTATGTAAAAGTCGTTTCAGTATACAGTAATTTGAATATTAGCTATATACAGGGTGATTCTTAATGGACGGATCATTGGCGTTGTGGGGTTAGAGGACCTCAATAGTAATTTAAATGCAAAGTATGTTGTAATTTCTATAGTTTTAAAGTTAAGAATCACCCTGTATACAAAAGTCAGCTCATTTCACTGATGATATATCTAGATAATTGTACTTTGTTTTTTGACAGCTTTAAAAGATCTCGACGAAACTCAAATTATAATTCCATTCAACACGCAGCACAATGGCGTATTGTTCTGTTATTTCACAATTATGTTCGCAAAACTTTGTTACTTTGCGAGCAGTTAAAAGTCAAAAAATGAATGGGGTAATTTTTGCTTCGGATTTAAATTTGGCCATTGAAAGATATTGTTAATTGACTTTACTACAATTTTTAAGTAATTAATTGGTACTAGTTATCAATAAGTAATTATTTGTTACCGTAGAGATTAAGCTTGTCCCACCACTGGCTGATAGAGGCTCAGATAGTTTAAAAATGATGTAACTGTCAGATAAGGTAACAAAATCCGATATTTCCATCACATAGTTTACACGTTGGTTTGTTATCAGATAATTTACAATTTTGTGTGACTGGCCCTAAATATTTTTAATCATCAGCATCTCCCCTGCCTTATCCTACTCCCGTAGGGTCGGCGCACAGGGTTTTCGTCCTCCAAAGCACTCTATCCGTCATCTCAGTCATCACTCCTTGATCATGTCACCTTTCAAGCAATCCATCCATCTCTTTCTAGGTCTACCTCTACCGATGTATCTCCACATTCATATTTAGTGTTATTATTAATATTTTATTTAGTTCATTTTCATTTCCTAATTTTAATAACTACATAATTAGTAAGGATCGTTTGTAATGGAAATTTAAAAACATTTTCTTATTTTCAAGAGTTTGTTGTAAATAAATGCGAAATTTTCTTCGATAACGTTACCATATGGTTAGGAATTGCTTATACTTTGCGAATACTTCGCATGTAAAATACATAATATAGTTATTCAATAATGAACCTTTCATTTCGTATCTGGTATTCATATTGAATTTCCACATTCGTCTTGCAAATGCAATCAAAAGAGCTGCACTTGAATGAATCTGATTTAAGTTTCTTCGCTGAACATTCCTCTTTGTGATTTCGCAATTTACCTTCCAATAGAAAATTTTATTTCTAAGTTCAGAAACTAAAATCGAGTTTAAAACGCATTTAAAAGAAAGAAGAATTTAAAGAAAAATGCATAGTAGATACAAATTTTTTTTACTACTAGCTTACGCCCGCGACTCCGTCCGCGTGGAATAAAAAAAACAAAAGTGAATAGCCTATGTGTTATCCCAGACTGTCCTCTATATTTATACCAAATTTGATCGAAATCCGATCAGCCGTTTAGGCTACAAACTCTAACAAACATCCATCCATCTAAACTTTCGCATTTATAATATTTAGTATGAAGTATAGTAAGAAGATCGGATATAATATCGATTGGTTTAAGAAAGCGAATTCAGATATAAAATGTATGGAAGAAAAATAGAATAATAAACATAATTTGTACAATATAATCAGCAATTTTCTATAAATATAACAGTTTTATTTGGTCTAGAAGCGTAGGTAAATTTAGGTCTAAAGGTCCTATATACGTAAGTAGTTAAGGACGCCATTAGCTGAGAAATGTCAGGGGCTCGTTAATTAAGTCTTGGATTGCCCTAGCGCACATCTAGGTCGATCGCCAACCCTAGCCCTGTAACATTATATGTACGAGAGTTAATTAAAATCAAGGTTAATTAGAATTTGTGGTTATTTTCGTTTTAGATTACAAATGAATTATGTGATCGAAATGGTAGCAAAATTTTTTTAAGTCGACAAACTTCGTTAGCGCAAATTAGGATCACTCGTTACGCCATTATGACAGTGCGGAATTAAAAAAATAGCCAATAATATGCATATACATATCAGCTACCCTAGAGGGAAGGTCCCGTTGAAATCGGCCAGCTGTTTTAGAGATTATCCAGAACTAACGCGGCTTTCGGATAGATAGACAGACAGACGGACAGACAGACAGACGGACAGACAGACAGATAGATAGATAGATAGATAGATAGATAGACAGAGAGGCAGACAACATTTCTTTTAAATGCAATTTTCGTTATCAGCAACGCAAATACATCATGTTCCTTTTTTGAAATTTTCTTTTGATATTACAAACAGACACGCCAATTTTATTATATGTATAGTTATAAATAGAAGGTAGAGAAGATAATCTTTGTTATTAAAAATCGATATAAATGTTAAAAATAAAAGGTTCTTAAATAATGTCTGAATGTAGGTAAAATTATGATGTGTTGGAAATTGTTTCATAATCCGTATCCGTGAAGTAAAAGCAATTATAACTTTGTTACCGCATTGTGAAGTTTGTTGCTACGGTGAATGTTACAAAGTTCAACATGCGCTAACGTCAAAGTTACCAGTTGGTGGAACTAAGACGTATTGATCTCTGAATAATCGTATGTTGGAATTATAAAAGTTTGTTTTTGCGGCTAAAAATATCGGATTTTTTCTATATAAATATATAGGGTTAAGATGTAATAAACATTCAAATATTGATGATAATAGAAGTTGAATTTTAAATGTAATTGAAAACTAGATAGAAGTCTTGAGATCTAAAACGTTTGGTATATTTTCGTATACTTCAAACGGAAACTTTTGTAATTTAAAATTAGCAATTTTACTTCGTCTTTAATAACAAGTAACAAATTGAAGTTGGAGTCGATATTAAAAAAACTTAGTTATTAGCAAATGTTTTACTCAGAAAATAATTATTTGATGTACTAATTAGTACAAAATATGAAGTTAATTTAGTCGCTTTATGAAGCTTAAAACAATTTTATCATAATAGAATTTCTGTGCTCACTTTTTTCCTTATTAGAATGTTTTCTTAAATTAAACAGTTTAAAATTAACAAGCGGACTATCAAAGGAATTTTCTAGACTGTTCGTACATTCGCTACCAGAAGTCTAACAAAGACTTACTAAGTTTGCTCATTAAAATTTTCTATAAAATTTAAACAGATTTTTACATTATAATTATTCTGTTGCAAAAAAACGAATACAAAGTTGTTAGTAGTATGGGCGTCACAGCCATGTTATGCTTTAATAAAATATAGTCTTCATTACCTCTTATGTTCCAATTTGCACAGAATAACCTTACCAATATGGCCGTCGTGTCTTCGAGCTAATGCAACACCCTTATTTTTGACATCCGACTACTATCAGATTATTAACATAACAAGCACAATTACGACATTTCAAAACCATTACATAAATATTTTAAATAATGTTTTGGATCACAATTACAAAGCTATATCGTTATTTCAAATTATCACAAATGGTATTGATTTATAGCACAGACTAAATAACCTTCAAGAATACAGAATACATCAAAATATTATTTATACCACGGCTAAAACTCACGTGGGAACTTTTGGTGGGCACCGACCAGTTTCAAACCCGTAGGGGGTCCTTCTTCAGGGTGAGTGGATGCCGGGTTTATTCGCTATCGCGTCGCGACGGTCACCGTCAATAATATAGTATAATGTCTCACGAAAATTTTAATAAGTTAATTACATCAAAATAGTTAAAAAGCTAACATAAGTAAGAGAAGATTTTTCTATTATTAATTTGATTTTTAAAAATACTTTAATTGAGAAATCATTGATTGCTTTTTGTTTATTTTTTGCAACAATTTGTAGTAACATTGTCTTATGATAAGTGATTCATAGTTCATCTAGCAAGTAGCAGTTATCTGTTAAAAATAAACCATAGACAGTTTACGATGTCGGTGACATCAAACACGATCGTAAACCGTCCGTCTGAATCAACGTTCAGCTGTGTTACAGTAAGCAGATAACAAGCGGTTACTCTAAGAAAATACTAGAAATCGTATCGCTAACGGATACAATTATCAAATTGTGAGATGCAAGATAGAAGATGAAATCATTATAGTTCGACCACGACTCCATCCCCGTGAAACAAAAAAAAAACAAAAATAAGTAGCCTAGGTGTTCTTACAGACTATCCTCTATATTTATGCTAAATTTCATCGAATTATGTTCAGCAGTTTAGGTTATAAACTCTAAGAAACATTCATCAATCTAAACTTTCGCATTTATAATATTAATAAGATAATTTAGTAAACACTTAGCGAAACGCCTAACATCAGGAGTCGAGGTAAATACAGTTTTAACCAGATTTCGAACAAAAACCCGCGTCCCATAGAGGATGAACACTAACGTGCACATCTTTGGCTAATCTGTCGCACAATTTTTATGGGATTGTCGATTGTTTCGCTGCCAATTCAATTTTTTAGTTGCACAACTAACAATCGAATAGTGTAACCTCCATACAAGCTGATCACTGTGTGATCCCTTCACAGCGCGTAAACAGTTGTGCGATAAGTTTTCCACTTGTGTACAATGTGACTTAAAGTAATCATAGTTTTACTTACTAGTAAAATCCTTGATGGCTTGCGAGCCAGAGTCGAGTATGTCAGTGGGGTTGACAGTAATCTTGCAGTGCTTGACGAAAGGCATCTGGGGCAGCTTTGCCCAGTCACCGGCAGCCGCACAGTGAATCGTAATCGATATAGAATTCTCGTATGCGCGGATGACGCGCTGTACTTCATTTTCTTGATAAGCGTCAGTAAAATCAGCGAGGGAGAATGTCCCGTCCTGAAACAAATGAAAATTATGGATACATCGTGATGAAAATTGTCATTTGGGAAGAAACAAGATGTGTAACGTCAAGTAATCCTCACGAGGTGGTACTCTTTAGTGCCTTTTGATGGGAATGTATGGAGTAGTTAACGAAAATGTTTACTGTAGGTATTTTATATATTTGTGGAACTGGTTAGGAAATATTTATGTTAAGACCAGAGCTGGTTAAAGCGCTAACAGCGTCCTGAGTGAGATTTCTATGATGCCACATTTTTTGCTATTACTTTGGGGGTGAGGGTTACTAGTTAAGGCTTTACTAATATCAATGTCATTTGACTCTATTTTGTTTGCTTATTAAATTTACAAGTTTGCATTATTTAGACATCGAACGGGAGGGAGGAAACCTGAAAAAATAATGGAAATTCATTAGTACTGCGGAAATTAAAGATGGCGGCGAGTGATGTGTGGCATAAATGTAATTAAAGCGAGAGATTTCACGTGATATATCTCACGTAAATTGCACTCTAATCAGAGATAAATCGTTCATTGAAATTCCTATATTTTTGATTAACAATTCCACATCGTCCCAAATAAGCTAATACTATTTTACTTGTTTAATAAAAGGAGATGCAAGTAACCCAGATATTGTAACATGTTATTTAGATTTAACAATCCGATCACATTATTCACCATCCATTGCGTCATTAGCAAACACAAACTGTAATGTTCACAAACAAAAGTGGACTTGAATTGCGAAGAATAAATGAATAACGACAAACGGTTGCAGAGAACGTTGTTTATCGTTAAAGAATGGAATAAAATTTAAACGGGAATGGCGGGAGTTTTCTTTTTTTGTTCTGTCAACGAGCGTCGCTTGGAAATTGTATTGTAGCTTTACGAGTGAAGTTGTACCGAGTTTAGAATAAATAGTGTGAAAAAGTGTTTAATAAAAGCTTATGAGAAAAAATGAGTTTATTTTACAAATGATATTGCGCTGAGTATAACGCACAAAAAGTGTAAAAAGACCGAATGCTTTTTTTGTTATAATAAAAGGGGGCAAACGAGCGGCGAGAACACCGAGGTGGTCGACGCCTATGGATATCCGCAACACCAGAGGAAGTACAGATGCGTTGGCGGCCTTTGAGGAAATGATAGGCTCGCTTCTTGACCCTAAGTCGTCGTAAAACTCTCATGTATTCTATGTTTTATCTATTTGACTTGTGACCTAAATTTCTTATTAAATTTCTGTACATTACTGTTTTAATTTTAATATGAAAGTTAAAATTACAATTTTATTCATCGTTAATTATTCGACTTCCAAGTCTGGCTCAGTAACATTTTCTTTACAATTTTCTTATAAACTTAAGCTCTATAAATAGAAACTTTCATCCCTTCAAGAACCGTCTCAAGAGGTTCGAGTAAAATGTCTCAAACGACTAAGAAATATGAAATTCTCTTGACACTCGAGCGACGTAAGAGGTCTAGAATCTAGGTATAATAACATAAAACTCAACGTTGAACTAATGATGTAATAATAAAATAACGAAACTTTTCCGACGATAAAACAAAAAAATAAATCAGGTGGCAATGAGTAAGGTTCCTCCGGTTGTAAGACCTTATTGGAGACAAGATTTTGGTACATACGAGCATAATTTATAGACTGTTATTCGATTTTTATGTGTTTTTACGGACGAAGGTCAAAAGTCACGCAGCAATTAAGACGACGACATAAACGGTGACAAATACAGAGGACATTTCCCCTTTCTTTGCGTCGGAACCGTCAAATACACGTTCCCTACCCATCGTTGTTTCTGGTTGTGACGTCATACCTGCATGATCCAGGAGCCATTCCCTGCGAAGGTGTACCCCGCGTGCACGAGGTGGCGATGGCGTGTGAACGAGCTGAGGAGATTACGCATGCATTGCATCAGCGTGTTCATCTGAGGGTGGATCAGGATCTCTGTCACCAGGTTCTCTGATGCGTATTGAATAAGTCGTTCTCCTGTTAACAAAAATATTATTGTTAGGAACGCTAAGGTATTAAGGGTTGTATGACATTGGACTATTGTAGAGTTTAGCATAACTCTATCAGAGACAGATATTTTAAATAAGCATGATTTCTTAATATATATTAAAAATTGTTATTTAGAGTTTTTTTTACGATGAAAATGAGAGTTTTTTACTTATTAGAACATTATCATTTCTACGTTTGCTTTCCCAAAAAAAGTGATGTTTTGAATTATAATTGTAAATTGTGTTAATAAATTGACAACCTTAATTAGAATTGTTAAAGAAGCGATACTGAAGTATTTTCAAGAGTAATTTTATTAGTTCGCACCCTCTAATACTGGAGATAATAGGGCCGACCTTGAGGGGTGTCTAGCTTAATAACTCGGGGGTGGAAACCGCCCCTTTGTGTGAGAAGAGCCTCATGAGTGTTTATTCTATCGAGACTGTATTTTCTAACAGTATTTTATATAAATATTTTTAAGTGTATTGTAAGTGTGAAATTAGGTATACACAAGTTGGTATTTGTTAAGGTTAACTTAAGTTAGAAATCTAGGCTAAGAGTGTCCTTTCTAAGTAATATAATAAATAGTAAAGTTAATTATAACATTATAATGTTACAGCATAAATTCATTGGAATTTTAATTGAAACTTTTAATGGAATTTATTATCGAAAGCTTTGAACATTGGAGTTAAAATCTGTGTTTGACAGAAAATTTTCTTTTTCTCTAAAGTTGGATATGTAATTTATTTATGCAAGTAAAATCAACAGAACTGAAGGGATAATATTCTGTTGTAACTATCGATAATCTATTCATTACGATATTTCCCGTAAATCCGTCCGCGCGAAATAAAAAAAAATCGATTTAGTGAGTAGCCTAAATGGTTTTCCAGACTATCTTCTACATCTATACTATTATAATAAAGCGTAAACACACACTTCTTTGTTGCCTAAAATATCAGCAAATACAGCACATTTTTGAATAATTCTTTTTTTATTAAAAAGCCCTACGCTTACGTCACACTTTAGGCTATATATTTTTACGCCATTAAACTTAGGGGGTAAATATTTTGGATAAAAACACTAATGTGGGAAAGAGACCATAAGTTGTTGCCAACAGCAAGGAAGCAAGATTGCCAAGGTTTGTCATGTTATGTCATTTTGACATTTGCTATTGATAATTTGACAAATGTTAACAACAAAACAAATTTTTTATAATTTCATGCGGATGAAGCCGCACGGTAACAGTTAGTCTATGCTAAATGTCATCGAGATCCGTTCAGCAGTTTAGGCTACAAACTCTAACAAAGATACATTCGTTAAGTGATCAAATATGTGTCTGTTTGTTTTAGTTTTTTTTTATTTCTATTTTAATTTACACTGCGACACGTGTCGATGTTGCGATATTTCGTTATAAAGTTCACATTTTGGCATTGAATTTTTTTAACAAACTGTTAAACGGTTAACATAATATAGGCCAATATTACGTTTGCGTGTCGACTACAATGTTGTTTATATATTCGTGTTGTTTATGACCTAATTAGAAACGCGAATAAACGTCTAAAAAGAAAACTGTATCGAATTAAAATGTAGTCTGTCACGCACTTACTACCACATGTTTTCACTGCTTAAACATGTATACAAACATGTTCTATCTGAAATTTCGTAATTGAAACAGACAGTTTTTTATTGCTTAATAGACTGAAATAATTTATCCTAGCAAACAATTTGGAATACCTTAGGTTAAAATATTTGTGTATTTTTTAATAATGAATGTTTTTTCATTTCAACATAAAGCTCTTTGCTTTATGTTTTTGGAATTGTGTTTACTCCCGGTATCCTCTGAACAAATCTAATATAGGCGGTGACGTAACAAAAACTTTTGCACAAATTTTCGTGATGTGTCCTCTATTCATCTAATATTCATATTTCTCTATTCATCTCATCATCATCACCAGCTCACTAAACTTCCCCACCGAGGGGCTCGGAGCCTTCCCTAAGTTAGGGTGACTAGGACATAGTCAACCACGCTGGCCCAGTGCGTGTTGGTTGACTTCATATCTTTGAATTTCTTGGCCGATATATACAGGTTGCATCACGATGTTTTCATTCACCGTAAGAATGTTAGGTAAATTATATACATATGAAAATTCGAAAATTCGAAAATCACACGGCGGGATTCGAACCCAAGACCTGTAGATTACAAGTCAAGTGCTTAAACCACTGAGCCACCGACGCTATTCATGTAATATTCTAATATTTTATTTGTGTACATATTGTATACAATTTAGCCCTTATGTGTTTATCAGAGGTATTAAAATAATCCCGAAGCTTTACGCAGAGTAAATAAACAGACTTATTAACAATGTAAAAAGTTTAAACAAAGGCCCGGTTTTCAACTTTTTCAGATAATAAGCTTATTACTCTGTACTGGAATTAAGTCAATTAGTTCGGTCTTGCTTACACTCGCTAAAAACCTAAAGAGCGAGGGAGACGAGTATATTTTACACAGTGCTTTACAACTAAACAACTACAAACACGAAACATCGTATCATCAACTTTATAGGCTTTATAAAACGTTTGGGCCTTACATTTATTTATGGCTACGAGTATAATTGGGTAAGTTTATATACAATTCTGGCTTAAATCGACCGACTAACTAAAACCATTTACTCTGAATGGGATCGCTCAGTCGAGTAGAAACTGTGATAAACCTTCATAGCTGGGAAACCTTCCAGAAACGAAATAAACAGCCTATATGGGTACTTTATTATGTAGGCTGTGGCACTAATGAAATATTGTATCGAAAATAAATTCGTACAATGTTTTCGATCGCTTTTTGTTTTTATTAAGCGTTTACTTTTTGGCCGACTTCCCTAAAGAAGGAGGTATTCAATTCGTCGATATGTTTTTTTTATTTTTTTTATGTGTGTTACGGTATAACTCCGCCGTTATTGGACCGATTTTGATAATTCTTTTTTTATCCGAAAGGTAATGCTTGCAGGTGGGTCCCATTTTGTTTGATTTTTGGAGTCTTATTAAACTGTATCGTTAGTAATAAAAATCTACTTTTCATGTCAAACGGAATGTTTACAATAATATTTATTTAAGTGTGGTAGAGACCGCTTTAACATCGCAGCACAAATGGCTCGGCACGCCCCCAGTAATACCACGACCACACAGAAGACAGGCGTAAAGAGGGAGCAATTCTGCTCGCGTCTGATGAGTGTGGTGCCGAAGGCCCTACTTTAGTCCCTTTTTCTTCCTATCCGTTTTCTTATATGAAAATGATGGGAAGGGAACGTGGATTTGACGGTGCAGGAGACGCATAGGAAGGGGAAATATCCTCTTTATGTGCGTCTCTTGCTCCGTCGTTTAAGGGTAGGCAACGCATCCGCTATTGCGAATGTCTATGGGAAGCGGTCGCTGGGCCAGTTTGGCGTATTTAGGTGGCCGCTTTCTCGTTTATCACCTTATGATATAAAAAATAAAGATCAAGAAATCATTAAAATGTTTGTGTTATTTTAGGACCTAATTAAAAAGTCATATCGAATGCATTATCTTCTATTTGAACCGAGCAATAAAAGAATAAACGCATGTCATCCAATAAAATGTAACTCAATCGGCCTTGAGCAAATGCCAAAGGTTTCTACTAAGATTAGGGGAAAGGTTAGGGGTTGCTTTGTCACGCCTAATACGAGTTAGTGGGTAGATTGATCGCCGAGGCCACAACTAATTGGATGATACGGGAAAATGGAAGAACCTTGTACTGTCTAATTTTATTTGCACATTCTTTTACTTATTTTTACTGAGGTCTTTGTTATTTATGGTCGTATACTGAAATGACATTTAAATATATAACAACTAGCTTTCGCCCGCGTCTCTGTTCGCGTGGAATAAAAAAACAAAAGTGAGTAGCCTATAAGTTCTTCCAGACTATCCTCTACATTCATACCGAAATTCATAGAAATCTGTTCACCCGTTTAGGCTACAAACTCTAACAAACATCCATCCATCTAAACTTTCGCATTTATAGTATTAGTAAGATAAGAATACAGTATGACTGAATAATAAAATCAGGCTTAAACTTTCAAAATCCATTAATACGACTTCTGTCAGATTGTAAGCAGTGTTTAAGACGCGAAGTGTTTAAAGATTTCTTTCAAAGAGTTTAACATATTCTTATGTCAATAGAAGGGATGTCGTGAAACAAATCTTTGTAACTGACGATTACGAGCAATTTTAAACAAAATATTTAATGTATAATGTCCGCTCTATTCCCAGTGTTGTATTTTAATCTTTGACAACAGATTTAGCAAAATAATTTTACGAACACCTTAATAAACATCTTAAAATCTCATAAAGGCCGGTCTCGAGAGCTAAATAAATTACGTGCCTACAAAAGACGCTCGTAAACTCCACCCTGAGGGTTGGTTAAGTAACCGCCGCGTTATTTTAATTAGAGACCCATCTTGTTACGTTATGCTTTGTTAGTAGAGGTCGGCTTATAATTTTGTTTGTCGAATAAACGTGTTTTTGAATGAAAAAGTCTTTACATTAAAATTATGTTGTGAATTTAAATATAAATTAAAGATTTTTATACGATTTTTGGGAGTAGATGAAGTGTTTTTTAAGGAAACCATAGAATATTATTTTATTAATGGTTTATGGTATATTTTAAAACATATTTTTTTTTAAGAAAGTAACTAAACCTTAAAAGTGATAAAAAGTTTGCTGTAACGCCGTAAGAGTTCCATGGTAACATTTTAATCAAGCTGTTTTCCATAGAAAATTGAATACTGATTTTAGAATTTCTACATTTCAGTACATTTATGTTTATTTAATTAAAAAAAAAACAATTTTATTACGATCTGAAAGTAATTTAACTTTCGTCCTGCGTTATTCGGGTTTCGATAAAATTATTTTTCTTTTTAAAATAATAAGAAAACTCTGGGGAAAGTTAGATAAAAAAATGCTAAGAACAGAAGTAAAGACGTGGGATTATATGAGAAAAGTAGACGTAATTGTTTGCCTTATTCAACATTTCATTAAGAATTATTGACGATGATTATCGAATTTCAAGCCGATAGGACACTAGATATCTATACTATTATAATAAAGCGTAAACACACTTCTTTGTTGCCTAAGATGTCAGCAATTACAGCATATTTTTTAATTATTCTTTTTTTAAATAAAAAGTCCTACACTTACGTCAGGCTTTAGGCTATATATTTTCACGCCATTAAACTTAGGGGTTAAATATTTTGATAAAAACCTTAATGTGGTAAAGAGAGAGAGAGAGAGAGTGCAGCCAACATCAAGAAGCAAGATTGCCATAGTAAGGTCATTAATATTTTAACATTTGCAATTGAGAATTTGACAAATGTAAACAATACAATAAAGTTAATAATTTCATGCGGATGAAGCCGCATGGGAACAGCTAGTATATCCTAATTTTTATGTAGAATTTTTCTATTGAAATATGTTTTAATTAAGGCTCTACCTTCAGAAGGTACAACAAAATTTATCTCTGGCATTTCTAAAGAGACACGTGACAAGGGTAACTTTATACGTTCGATTAAGTTTTCACGAAGATGCGTGCCCTAAGGAATTTTACTATTCTGGTGTGAACTTAAATATTGATTGCCGAAGACAAAGATGTTTCCTTAAACAAAGCTAAAAGTTTTATGAGTTAAAGGAAAGTTATATCACAAGTTTTTAGTTTATTAAGGGCCTGTCCCACCAAATTGTAAATTGCCGGGTAAAAGTCGAACGTGTAAAATATGTGATGGGAATATCGGATTTTTGTTCCTTTATCTCACAGTGACGTCATTTTTAAGCTATCTAAGCCTCTATCAGTCAGTGGTGGGACAGGCCCTTAATATTGTAATTGAAATATATCGTAATTTACTAAAAAAAAATACAGCTTTAAATAGATAAACTCCTATAAGTAAGAAGAAATATAACTAATTCTTGATATTTTTTACATAAAAATTACTTAATCATGTTAGAAGTTAACTTGTTATTCATTAACTTGAAGTCAGATGGAATACTGTTATTTTTTTTATTATTATTCCATTTTAGATATTCCAAATAAGCTCAAAATATACTAGGATAGTTCAAGACAATAGTCGAATTTCAATAAAACAACACTCTGTATATTGTAGTACTGACCATATCTGGCTTCCTCCCCCTCGGGTGCCTGCTCCGCGAGGGTGGCCAGCTCCTTCTCCAAATCGACCTGGTGCTCTCCAGAGTCCCATGATAACAGCCCTGAAACAAACACACAAATATTAATTTACTATATTAAAAAGCTGTTTGTAATATAATCTAAAATGTTATCTGAATAACATAAATCCATTTGAAATTCTATAGCTTTTGCCGGCGACTCCGTCCGCGTGATATTAACAAAACAAAAGAGGATAGCCTATGTATTCTACCAACCTATCCTCTACATTTTTACCGAATTTCACCAAAATCCGTTCAGCCGTTTAGGCTACAAACGCTGACAAACATCCATCCATCTAAACATTCGCATTTATAATATTATGGCTGAACGGATTTCGATAAAATTTGGTAAAAATTTAGAGGATAATCTGGAAGAACTATGTGCTACTCACTTTAGTTTTTTTTAATTCCCCGCGGATGCAGTCGCGGCCGAAAGTTAGTTATTACATAATGCGCCTATTTTATTAGCGCCATCTAGTGATTGACATTGATTGACCATATGTATCAACATCCATCTAAACTTTCAGATTTAATATTAATAAGATTGAAGTATATACCAACAGAGTACAAAATACGCAGAGCAACTATTTTATTCAGCGCTGCAATAACCGGTTTTGCGCTCCCCCGGGAAAAGCATTCCCATATCCTTTACACCTCAACTATTTCCTCAATAATCATTTCATAAATATTTCATGCGTTCAATATTCTATTTCTATTTATAGAACGGATTCTTCGTACATTTCAAGTGAAATATATAAACACTAGCTTTCGCCCGCGACTCCGTCAGCGTGGATTAAAGAAAATCAAAAGTGAGTAGCCTATGTGTTCTACCAGACTATCCTCTACATCTGTACCAAATTTCATCGAAATCCCTTTAGCCGTTTAGGCTACAAACTCTAACAAACATACATCTAAACTTTCGCATTTATAATATTACTAGCTTTAGCCCGCGACTCCGTCCGCGTTGAAATGAAAACAAAAACAAAAGTGAATAATAGCCTATGTGTTAATAGCCTATGTGTTCTTCCAGACTATCTTCTATATCTATGCCAAATTACATCGAAATTAGTTGAGCCGTTTAGGCTACAAACTCTAACAAACATCCATCTAAACTTTCGCATTTATAATATTAGTATGATATGATCATCATCATCATCATCACCAGCTCACTATATGTCCCCACCGAGGGGCTCGGAGCGTACCCTAATACGGGGTGACTAGGCCATAGTCAACCACGCTGGCCAAGTGCGGGTTGGTTGACTTCACACAATCTTTGAATTTCTTCGCCGATATGTGCAGGTTGCATCACGATGTTTTCCTTCACCGTAAGAACGTCAGGTAAATTATGTACATATGAAAATACGAAAAATCGAAAATTACATTGGTACATGGCGGGATTCGAACCCAAGACCTGTAGATTACAAATCAAGTGTTCAAACCACTGAGCCACGCTCATGATATGATAGCTATGTATATTTGTCTACAATCAATGCGATGTTCTATTATCTATCTGACACAACATGCCTATCTTACCTTATATAACCTAAAAATGTTAGTTTGAGAGGCGAGAAAAAGTAGTTCACCATTAGAAAAGTAGTGTATCTGTAACATAGGCTATATATTTAAATTTAACGCGGACTAAGTCACGAGCAGCAGCTAGTCAAGTAAAGTGCAATTAATGTTATAATAAAACTAATGCCATTTCAAAGCTATTGTTTTGAAATGGCATTAGTTGTAGTGGGGGCAATGTAATTGCCACCGCTTTGAGTGATCCCATCCCCGTGCCCCCACTCGGACGACGTGATTGTTCTCTGACTGATGCTATTGTTACGAAAGCGCTAGTTTTAAAGATATGCTACCAACTGAGAAGCTATTCAAATATAAATTACAATAGCGATATGTTTTAATTATTGATATTGCTTTGTTTTCTAGATTATACTTGGTAAATGACTAGAAACAACATATCTAGATATATCTGTATAGATAATGTATTTTTGTATGCATTGAATAAAGTCAAAAACTATAGGGCCGATTTCAAAAATTCTTACACCATTAAAAAGCTACATTGATAGTGAGTAATATAGGCTACATTTTTTTTTAATATCATGCAGACAAAGTCACGGAAGCTAGTGTTATATAAATTTAGGTACTGGTAAGATTCTCAAGACTGTTCCAGAGAATAATTGCCACCTAATTCAATCTAATTCCTAATTAATTAGACACGAAAGCTGTCACCTGTCAAGTCTCACTGACGGAGGTTGCTATAAATTATTCAGTGGTGACAAATTAAGCCACGAGATGGCAGCACCCACTCATTTACAATGTGTGTACATATGACAAAAACATCTCATTTTTCACCTACTTTTCTCGTACTTTTCATTAACTTATTTTGCTCAATAAAAGCACGCACACACATTTTACTAAACTATCACATAACTGTTTAGTCTCTTTGATTCCTATCAGCTTAAATGGTGGTATATACACTCGATTTTTAGTTGTTCAACTAAACAATTGAATTGGCTGCAAAACAATCGACAATCACAGCTATTGTGCGATTATTTAGTCAAAGGTGTGCATCCGCTCTAATTGGTTGGATTTATTAGATAACTTTTTTATAAAATGTGAGATGAAAACGTTTAATTGCCTTTAGAATGTAATTGACAATGCTTTTTCATACAAAAGCGAGTTTTTCACTTAAAATAGATTTCCATTTTATGTCGAACGAATATGAAATTCGAAATGAAAAATGTTTTTCGTTTGCTGTCAGTCGACGTAACCGAACGATGGATTTATTTGTTTATTTCCCTTTGAAGAAATATTCAATTCTGATATTTTAAAGCCATGAAAAGACAATACACACAAATATTAAAAAGATATTCAAATAGTGTTTGTGATTTCTATAAATGTTTATTTTGAATATTAAGCTGGACTAAAGTAATTGAACGTCTTTGAATAGTTTTAGCGAACAATAATTAATGAATAGAGGAAACTAAACACCAATAGCTTAATGGTTTGTGACGGTTACTTTTCTCCGTCCGGGGCTCTGGAGGTGTGGGGCTATTGAAACACTTTCTTCATCTAGTTAATCATTATATTTATAATATCAAAACCACATTTTATACAAAGTCTATTCTATAAGTTCTACTATGTTTCTTGGTACGTGTCGAGATGTGAAGTCATGTATCAAAAACATCAAATATAATTCGTTATAATTTAAAATATACTATTCTAATATTAAAAACCATCCTCTGTGTGTACAGTGTTGCCTGCCAGTATACAAACATATAAAAACTCCAACAGTTTGGGGTATGGACACCGATCTTGCGGTCGAGGTTTCGAATCCCGCCATTCGACTATTGTCGTAAACCATATCACAAGCTTAGAGCTTAGTTGGAATGGTTAAAGGAAATATTAGTAAATTACCAAAAATCTACTAATATTCTATATAAAAAAAATTATCAAGCCCACTATACGTCCAGTTTTAAGATAAGATCTGTTCAGTTACAACTGCGTAGACTACATTTTAACTGTTGAAACATTCAGTTAAAGTTTTCCCTCTCTCTCTCTCTCTCCGGATCGTTTCCTCATTCCTGAGGGTCGCGACCACTCTCCTTGACACTCTCTCGAAGGGTGTTTCTCCAATCTGTGCTGTGACATCTCTGGGACATGTATGGCGTTATGAATAGTTGTGTTGAGAGTGGTGCATATTTGGTCCGTCCAACGCATAGAGCGACGTCCTTTAGATCTCTTCCCCTAGATTTTGCCCGTAATAGTAAGTTTTTCTAGGTTTTCGGGGGATCGCCTAGCAACAGTTTTCCCTACACACTCATAGTTTTAACTGTTTACTTAGACTATTCAGTTAAAACTGTCGAGTCAGAACGGAGCTTAGCAGCCTTAGTAATATATTTGACAAGTATAATTTTAGCTATACTTCTAAATAGAAATCTAACTTGACTGTAATTAACTAATTAAAACAATTGAATACTTCAAACAGACTACAATGAAACGCAATTATTTCTCTAACAACGTCTTAGATAATAAATCTATTGAAGGTCTAGAATCTAAATCTAAACTTCCGTATGTAGACCGAAGAAACAAAGTGAAAGTAGATATACAATCTATAGAAAACCTGCAACGGAAAACCAAGTGCCATTTACTACGAGAATTTATTACCAACCTTTGTCAGTATTGCGTGATACGTGAACTAGTATACAATGAGCCGTTTTATGTAAAGAAACGGTATAAGAATAGAGTTCAAGATGTGTGGTATAACTGTGCCAGTTTCGAATGACCCGTTTTATGTATTGGAATGGTAAGAGATTCGGATTCAAGATGTTTGGTAGTTAAACAATAGATTGCAAATACAATATCTCAACTTGTAATGTTACATGTAACAATATCGCTGTGTCTCCTCTTGCTAATAGAGTTTTTTTTATAACAAAAGGTGGCAAACGAGCAAGCGGCCACCTAAATCCGCCAAAATGGCGAAGCGACCCCTGCCCATAGACATCTGCAATTGCAGATGCGTTGCCTACCCTTATACGACGGAGGAGGAGACGCACATCAAGAGGATATATTCCCTTCCTATGCATCTCCTCCACCGTCAAATCCACTTCCCCTTCCCATCCTCTCCTTATAAGAAAAGGGTGGTACAGAGAAAGGGACTTAAATTAGGCCTCCAGCACCACAGTGGTTTTTACAGTGGTAGTGCCCGCTTTAACACCTTAGCACGAATAGGCCGGCACGCCCGGTGTAATACCACGACCACACAGAAGACAGGCGTGAAATGGAAGCAATTCCGTGTTTCGTCTGATGAGTGTGGTGCCGGAGGCCTAATTTCAGTCCCTTTCTCTTTACCACCCTTTTCTTATAAGGAGAGGTTGGGAAGAGGAAGTGGATTTGACGGCGGAGGAGATGCATAGGAAGGGGAAATATCCTCTTTATGTGCGTCTCCTCCTCCGTCGTATAAGGGTAGGCAACGCATTTGCAATTGCGGATGTCTATGGGCAGCGGTCGCTTCGCCTTTTTG